AGTTCATCGTCGGATAATTTATCTTGAAAAGCGCGAATCAGTTGTTCGACAGTTTGTGGAAGTTTTTTGAGCCATGCCAATACAATAAAATGTTTGGTCATTTGACCTGAGGCTAGATCAGTCATCTCTCTGTAGAGTTGGCTTGGTTTTTTATCACCTAGTTCACACTCAGCAAAGAGTTTGATCATCTTTTCTTCTGCAGAAATCTGATACATTTTAATGAGCTGTTGTTTTAACATTTGATATGCATTGGGATCATTCTGAAGTTTGAATAAATCAGAATTTTCCTTGGCTAATGTACAGTCCAACATTGAAATAACTTTACCAAACTTTACCTTCTCCGAATGAACTCCATTAATGTCAAAAACTGTTTCCACCGCATTGAACCAAAGTTCAGGTTCATGTTTCCAAAACACAGGTAGGGTAACTGATTTCATGCGATTGTATTGAATTTCGAGGTTTTCATTCTGATTTGAAATGTTTGAGGAAGAGGTAGATGGTTGATCAATATTGTCAATTCTTGGCACAGAATTTTCTATGAATGTTTTTATCAAATTTTCCAAATGTTCAAGTTTCTCTGAAAAACGTACACACAAATATTCCAAATTGTTGACTTTCGTTGACAAGAGCGACATTTCACGATCTATATTATCCTTATCATGGTTTGTATTCTGCTCTATTTCTTCGAGTATGTCGGAATAATCGAAATCATTTGGATTCTTCAAATCTGGATACTTTTCTCTTATGAAACCTTCCAGAGTTAGTTTCATATCGGATACCGTTCCACCAGAAGCTAACTTGAAATGTTGCAGTACATTGAGCAGTTGCTCTTTTTTGATATTTTGTATAAGTAGAACCATGTTCTTTCGGGGTCACCAGATGTTGGACTAATTCAAGTTTCAATTCTACTTTTTTAATAATTGACAACAAATTGACATCACATAACTCACTATCAAAATACAAAAATACAGGGTGCCACAATACCTATATTTCTGCAATTTTTTATATTATCAGGTAGTTTATTGAATTCAGTTAAGGCTGAATGAGTGAATCTTTTTTGTCCGATTATGGAGCTAGCGGCGTCAAGATGAAACAAGTTATATTGTCTAGTTTCATGATTATGAATTTCAGAATTCCGTATCAAAATAATATTCGACTTCAATTTTTTATTTATGATATTATATGATATTTTGAGAGTTTCAATTCTATATATTTCATCTAAAGAATACGTATTTGTAGGTAGGTTAATTTCGGGAGAACCTGTATAAGTACCACATTAGAATAAGATATCTAGTTTTGATCTTCTCCTGAAGATGCTAACATAGTATACAATTTTTTTTCTTTCGATAGGGACATCGTCAAGGTCATGGAGTGTCTGCTGGACCTACCCTCGGACTACTGGTCCAGATTCGTGAACGTCGCCTCGAAGCCGACTGTGGTCAAGCTGCAGCAAACGCCCAGTACTGATTCACTGTTGCGGCCGACGGCCAACAGGTTCTTCACGCCGGGCGGTAGGGGCGAGCTGGGCAAGTGGAAGAGGCGGAAGGAGGGCAGGATGTTCGCCACCCCGCCCAGTTACAGAACGTAGGTTGTGTATGGATATATGGTTGGTTTTATGTATGGTTGTTTTTAGCTTCAATAAGAGTGTATTTTGGTGAGAAAATAACTGAGATTTGCTGAATTGTGTCTTATATTTCATACAGTTGATGTTGTTGAGTTTGGAATCATTACAGTAACAGGTAGTAGAAAACATAGATGATTAATTGGACGCAGTTATGCAAAGAGGGCCCAAGCAACAAGGAGTGAGTTTCAAAGATTATTAATCATTAATCAATCAGTGATATTTTGCCTTACTACTTTCTTATCTTATCACATGTAGAAAAACATGGAGAATTCAATGGAAAAAATCTCGGTTTCAATTACCTCAAACAAAAATAATTGAAAAAAGTGCATTGGTTCCTTTTTGCATTTTGAATTCATAGAATTTTGGTAAGAGCATGAACATGTCTTCTGTCATTACTGACATCTAGTTTCTGATACGGAATCAGATTTTCGAAGTTTAGTAAGTTTGGAAATCAAAATTTCATGTTCTGATATCATTCTATTAATTTATATTTATATCCCCAAAATGATACCCACATCCATTATATCTCCACATCATTTTGAAAGTAATCACTATTCCTTGCCTAACAGAAACTGGCTCACTCCTTGGATCGTTTGCCAAATATATGCAACAGAGTTGCGACATTCTAGTGTATTTTTGAAGAACGGTTCAGTATTTTGAAATATTTTTGACTGGCGGGAAATTGGGATGTTACTTTTGGATGCGCACTCCTCATTCCGTTTATGATCATTTATCAGCACTTCTTGAGTTGGAAGTTGGTCATCTTCTTAAATCTTAAATTTTGAATCATAAGTCTCAAATGGTTTTATAACATAACCAATGATATTTCCATGTTCCATCTGTCATAAGTGATAAGCCTTAAATGTTAGGTGATGAATCTTAAGTCTTAAAGTTTTTCTATAAAGTGGCCCTTAATCGTATACCTACTGAGAAATTATCAAACAGATTTATACAAAAAAGAACCACTCCACGTGAACCATCTCACGTGGTGCTTTTTCGGACTTTTTACATTAATTGAACCAGGCTTTCTTATTGTGCGCAACTAGTACGCAGATGACCTTGTAGGTGACTGATGATTGTTCCATCCATTCTCTGCTGAATATGGAGAAAAAAACTGTTGAACTGGAGTTTCTGGTCTGCTCAAACAAGGAAAATCACCTACAGGGTTCTTTGGCCAATACAGTAGTACCGCTATACGGTCAACTCGAGGAAACACTTATTTCAATTGTTTCCCTGTCAAACCTATATAACCTTGAAAATCGTAAATGAGTTGAGCCTCTCTCAGCGGTGGCGGTAGTAGTAGTAATAGTAATATCGATTATTAGCTTTTGATCAGGGCTCTGATTTTCTTACTTGTAATGATCCTGTAACACTCAATATAGAATGTATTCACTTATGTTACAAAGGAATATCACTTGGAAATCCATGAATGGAGACGGTTTCACACTTTCTGGTAGGCACAATAAGAGGAGACAGAGTTTGTTACACATTGATAATCAGAATTAACTACTATAATACTGGGAGCACTACACAAAACTATATCTATAAACAAAAGGAATATTAGAACAATGAGAATTGAAAAAGAATATTTTAGGAAAAAAATACGAAACAAGTCACGATGGCACGACAGCTATAGGTCGCGTGCACGATGACCGACCCTGAAGGCAAAATATTGAAACACAACCTCATTCTTCTGTGAGTTATTGAAACACAACCTCACTTTTTTATTTGGTTACAGTGGAATCAAAGGATTGAAATAGTTTTTCACAATATTTTGGCATACGAATCGTGTTTCTTGAGTTATTCATTAATTCAAGCATGCCTTTGCATTGTGCTGTTGTACAATGCACAAAAAATGCAGCAAGAGACTAGGGAATATGATTTTTCAGGTAAATAGTAATCTCACATAGTTATCATTATGAAATGTTGTCATTCCTTTTTAAAATTCCTTCTGCCACTTCTGCAATACAAGCTGATACTGCTAATAGATTGAAAATGTCTACAACACACACGATCGTCAGATTCGTCAGCATGTCAGACCAGTCCTCCCGATTGATTGCATGAATCCAATCTTCTTGCATTATTCTAGAAATTTCAGGTATATTTCTATTAGCTCTTATTGCAGAAGGAATTCCGATGAGAAATCAGAGAAATAACCAAATTCCAAAAATGAAAACTATATTTATGTGCATGAGTTACTATAGTAGGTACTTACTTTTAAATCATAATGTACCATCCGGATTCCTTCATCTTCCGCTGCAGTTTTTGTGCATTTTACAACAGCACAATGTGATGGCATGAGCGAATTGATGAATAGCGGAAAAATACGATTCCTATGCCAAAATAATTGTGAAAAACTATTTCGATCACTTGTAAACAAATAAGAAAATTGACGTTGTGTGTCAATGTTTCGCCTCCAGGGTCGGTCATCTGACAGTTCTTGCACGCGACCTATTGACACTGACAACTTAACCGCAAATTTCGAAAATTTTCTAGAAAAAAGTGAAGATCATTTCGTCCGATACGGTAACATCCTCTAGTGGTCATACACTCAACTGAGCTATAGGGAAGACCAGTAATTCCAGCTCACTAGATTTTTTCTCCATATTTAGCAGACAATGGTTCCATCCTATGAAGGAGAATGACCTCAAAACATTTCCCGGTTTTGTGTTTCTTTTTACTTTTCATTAGTCCTATTATTTCTGTGTCTTGGACCCACTTGTGATAAAATTTGTCTAATAAATTATGAAACAAATTTCTGTGGTTATCTTGAATGGCTTGGAATGGACTTGAGCGCCTGCGTATTTTCAATTTTTAATTGTTGATATGGTTTGCATTAATGGTAACATTTTAGCTACTCCTTATAATTGTTAATTGATAATTGTTACTTGATAATTGTAAATTGATGCTGCATAAATCCACACTAAGAAACACAAAAGAAGGAGAGACAGGCAGTTCCGGTATCTCTCTTTTGAAGCATGTTCACTAATTCGCCCCCTTTTTTTTTCATAATTCATCGCAAAATGGTGTAGGCTTAGTTCATTTAGGGAGTTGTGCCATAGGGCAAATAAAGACTTGTGATGATATACTGTCTTTCACTTAGAGGTTGGAGTCGATTCAATTTTCGTAAATAGCGAACAATGAAGAATGCACCTAGTACTTAATTTTATTAGCTTTACAAAAGTATTGCTGTATAAACATGTCATTACATCTTTAGAGAGACAATAAAATATTTAAAGGATATCTCGAGTTTCTATTGAATGATGCAGCGATAAAACTCATTAAAAATTATAAAGTATCCTCAGATCTGTACTTATATTATTTGATCACAATGTTGTCACATGTCTGTTACACTACCCTAGGATTTCCGTGATCGTTAGGCAACGATGGCACTAGAGGGGGTCTGGTTTAACCCACAGGTACCGTCTCCTCGGTACACCCTGTAGTAACCTTGTTCTCCCCACGATTCGCCCCAAGAGTTCTTCACGATCCAATATGGTAGGGTTTTGTTGAAGCGGGGATAAGCTGGAAAATATAAATAATGAGGATTTTCCAAATGCTACTGAACTGAACATCAGATATTGTTAATTTGCATTCTCAACTGAAGCGCAATAGTACACAAGCGCTGAACGGCCACAATTCAATTTTTTATGTACAGGGTGATTTACGTAGGCCACACATTAGAAGGTTTCCAACTTGCAATTTGATTGAAAACTTGAAAATTGGCATGCTTTATTCATTTATTTATTTATAACTTCTACATTTGTCATCCAATATCAATTACATGTATCCGGTTTGACCGGAAGTGACTAACTTTTTCATTTCAAATAGCACCCTGTATATTTTTTGCAATTTTTGATTGCTAATCATAATTACCGTTCCAAGGATGTATTCGTATTTTAAATTTGATTTGATGGAGAAAACGACAATTGAAATTTCAAATTGAACGAATTGCAGTAGGCTACGATATTTTTGTAATCTTGATTTTGACTTCAATAATGATTTCAAATCATTAGAATTGTAGTAGATCATGTAATTTTCAAATTTTTATCTCTCGAAATGGCTAAGATAATCTATTGGAGCAGGTATACTGGGACACCCGGTATATATATTATATTGTATCTCCTTCACATAGGTTAGTGACCTGTGTGTGAAAGAGATGAATTATTTCACATATAAAATAGTTTTTCCACAATATAAATACTTGAACTGACCACAAAATAATCAATTCACACAATAATGAGAAATAAATTAAAATAAAGGAAAATAGAGTTGATGGAATTTTCTATAAGCCTCCCCAGCTATGTTCTCTGCTAGGTAGTTTTCTCTCAAACAGGTCTCTCCATGTAGTGGTCGACGGAGTTTCATCTGACTCTCTTATCATAAATGCTGGTGTTCCGCAAGAATCAATTCTAGCACCAACACTATTTCTACTCCATATCAACGATTTGTTGGAAGCAACTTCATGTCCAGTACACAGCTTCGCGGATGATAGTACCCTCCATACCGCCTTCTCTTCCAGGGCTCCAATACCAGCCAGGCAAATCAGGAACGAACGAGGGAGAAATGTTGACAACATAAATATGGACTTGGCAACAATTCTCGAATGGGGATCCAATAACTTGGTAGATTTCAATGCAACACAAGCATGCCTTTTCTCTAGGAAAGCCGATCTCACTATGCCTAACATGAGCTTGTCAGGAGTAACCAAATCTTCGAAGACATCCATCTCGATGCTTGGTATCACTATCAGCAATAACCTTTCTTGGAAAAATCACGTGAGATCAATTGCTAAAAGTGCATCCCAAAAAATTGGTTTTCTGTTTCGGGCCAGGAGCTATTTCACTTTCAGTCAGCTGCTCATGATCCATAAGGCACAGATCCGACCTGTCCTGGATCACTGTTCCCATATTTGGAGTGCACCACCCAAACATACCCTGAAACTGTTGGATTCTGTCCAAAAAAGGGGAATTCGTCTCGTGGGTGATGCCTCGCTCACAAACTCACTCACTTCTCTGGAACACTGTAGAAAAGTTGGCGATCTGGCTCTATTTTATAGATATTTTCATGGACGATGCTTTTCTGAAATATCAACAATTGTTCCTCCCTGGGCAGTCCCCGCGAGATTGACCCGTGAAGTTGAGGCTTCGCACGCCTTCGTGGTCACTTTGGACACCTGCAGAACATCTCTTCCCAAAGACTCGTTCATCCAACGAACAGCGAGGTTCTGGACCACATTGCCATCTGAGGTGTTCCCCGAGGCATATAACCTCCAGTAATTTATGAAGAACACCAATTCCTACCTTATTTCCCTTGGTTCTCACAATGTTCTTTGAACATTACAGGATATCCCTTTTCGTGGGAACCAGAACATAAAAAAGCCAACTTTCAACTTCTTTTTTGAATACTGTCTGTAGGTTGAAAGTTATAATATTTAGACGTTTTAATTTTGATGGTATTTTATTATGATTTCAAGATCCAATAAAACTAGTGTTTTTCTAAAATCGCAAGTCTGTCCATGGTGGTATAGTTTATCCAAAAACAATTGCAGAATCTTGTGCCGCACCTGCAGTCACTTCAAAGGAAACTTCAAACACGCCAACGTCGCAGAGAGCGGGATATTCTGCAATTGATATTGGATCTACAGTAAGCTGTATTAACTTAGAAAATAGTTTTCATTTACATTGTAGAAGCTAAAAAAGAAGTTTGCAAAAATGGAGTTGCCTGATTCTTGCCCCAAAAAGACAAAATTCTGAAAATATCGTGGAACTCGTGTAATAATTTCGCCTTTTTATCGAAAATGAAATATAAAACGAAAAATATTGTAAACAAATATAGTATTTTGAACATAGAAAGAATCGCTGACGTTTCCTGCTACTTGATCTTCGTGAAATCATTACCAGAATTTGGGTCCACTTCATCAACAGTTATGTTTTTGGAACATATTCACTCCCGGAATCTTGAAAGGGCTCACTTTCACTTTCCGACGACAACACATTGTATTGCATGAAACAAATGATCAAACTAATCACGCCACACACGATTGAGGACGCGGGGAGGCTTGCCGCTAATAACCTCACTCCGACATCTCCCACTACACGCGTACGGTCGGGCAACTCCAAGACTTACCCGATTTTAGCACCGTCATGGCTTACATTTCAATGCTAAAATCGAGTAACTCCTGGAGTTGCCCGACTCTTGCACCTCAATGGCTCATCAGGTAAATCCTTTCCCGTGTTGATTGATTGATTGATTGATAGCAGAATGATCAGTCAGGGTTTGAAGCCCAAAACACTGCAGCCTTTGGGCCTATTGTATTCCTGATCAAGCTGTTGACTTAGGTGAACAGGTTCGCTACCTTGATGAGGTTTAGCAGCCTCTTCACCAAATCATTCTTTGAAAATGCCTCTTGAGAGTTTACTGCTCCCAGAAGGTTGTATCTCCAACGCGCTAGTGCTTCGCACTCCAATATTACATGGGTGGCAGTTTCCTCCTCCTCATTGCATAGTCTGCATATGGGTTCGTCTGTATAGATGCCCATTTGATGCATATGTTTCCTCAAGGGGCAGTGACCGGTTATTAGTCCCGTCACTTGTTTGATCTGACTTCTGTTTAGGCTCAGAATGTCGTTAGTCACTGTTTTGGACAGTGTTCCAACCATCAGTTTACTGTGTCTTTGTCCTGGGACATTGTTCCAGTATGCCTGATGTCTTTCTTGCATCCACCTTGCCAGCCAGCCGCGTATTGAGGTTTTGGGGATACCGAATACAGGTTCCGGTCCCATAAACAACGTCGCAGACCCTTGCCTGGCAAGAGCGTCAGCTGCTTCATTGCCTTCAATTCCCTTATGCCCTGGCACCCATTGAAGAGTTACCTTGTTGTGGTTAGCCAGGGTTAGCAGGCTTTGAAGGCAATCCCAGACCAGTTTTGATCTGATTTTATTGCATGTTAAAGATTGAATGGCCGCCTGACTATCTGAGCATATGAGGATTTGTTCACCTCTATATCCTCTTACAATATTCTCTCTCAGGCATGCCTCAATAGCATGCACCTCTGCCTGGAATACTGAAGCATACCTCCCCATGGAAGCACACATCCTGGTTCTGGGTCTATCTCCATATATTCCAGCTCCCGTGCCCTCATCAGTCTTAGAACCGTCAGTGTACCACACTAACGTGCCTTCCTGACAGTTAGTCAAGACCATTTCATCCCAGTAGAGCTGAGTGTTGAAGGGTCTGTAATAGTTATTTCTAGGCAGCATTTTGTCCCTTCCCATATCCATTAGTGGGCTTGAAACTTGGCAATTTCCCGTGTTAACTCAATAGATGATAGTTGGATTCGCTTGATTCTTGCACCAGAAGAGATGCGCAAGAAAAAATTCTATATGTAAAATACAAAAACCCAACTTCGGCATAAAATGGAGACACCCGGTTCTTGCACCGAGGTCTTCAATTACTGTGCTGATACTCACTGTGCACTCCGTATCCCACAATGAGCACCCCGTGGTCCAACGATTTGGGGTTGCACAGAGCCTTCCACGGATGAGACACTCCGCCCACATAGAATTGCATCGCGTTGGCGTTGATGGCGATGGAGATGGGTCCGTTCTGCACCAGCCATTTGGCCATCTCGGTCTCGTCCTGGCTGATGTTGACCGCGCCCGATAATCGTACTCGCACTTTGGACTTGTCGAAGTGGCACTTCTCGTCTTCGGCGTCGTAGGGGTAGTCTCTTTCCGATTCGAGGCCGCCCATTTTTTCCAATGTTCTGCAATGCATATAAACATCAAACATCGAAAAACAGGAAAGAAATACAATTAAGGGTATCTAATATTATATCATGCACCTAGGGTGCAAGCTATACAGGGTAACTCACGGTCTATGGTACGTTAGACGTTTATGGAGAACGGGACATAGGATCATTCTGAAATTTTGGTTACTCACGTAGTTGCTCTTGGTCCATCGATCTAAAATATTTTCAGCTCTACGGCGTTGCCGCTTCTATCGAAAAGTAGCAACAACTTTGTTATTCTAAATGGAACACCCTGTATTTTATTGCATTTTCAGATTCTCTCTGAAGAGCTGATTTCATCGATATATCACACTTGGGGTCTAGCGGAAATGATTACAGAGATATAGGGTGTGAAAAATCGACATTTTTCAACTTTAGGAATTCTTTTTGTCGAAACTATTCATTATTGGTCAAAACGGCTCACATGTCCCTATCCCAACTTTTGATCAACTATCTACTGACATTTAATTGAAACAAATACAGGGTGGTGCAGAATTCAGATTCTTGATCACCCGGTATATGTCCCAATTAAATATCAGTAGATAGTTAATCAAAAGTTGAGATAGGGACATGTAAGCCGTTTTGACCAATTATGAATAGTTTCGACAAAAAAGTTGAAAAATTACGATTTTTCACACCCTATATCACTGTAATCATTTCCGCTAGACCCCAAGTGTGATACATCGATGAAATCAGCTCTTCAGAGAGAATTTGAAAATGCAATAAAATACAGGGTGTTCCATTTAAAATAACAAAGTTGTTGCTACTTTTCGATAGAAGCGGGAACGCCGCAGAGCTGAAAATATTTTAGATCGATAGACCAAGAGCAACTACGTGAGTAACCAAAATTTCAGAATGATCCTATGTCCCGTTCTCCATAAACGTCTAACGTACCATCGACCGTGAGTTACCCTGTATAATAGCATTCTCGACCGTGGCATACAGGGAGCCCGGTCGGTTAAATTAGGGCAAAGTTTATTTATTTATTCATTTGTTTATTAAAGGACAAACCAATTATGCAATTTACAAAAAGAAAGTATAAAAATACAGAGCATGTACATATTATTATACAGGGTCGCTGATATGTATGGAAACAGGTGAATATCTCGGTAACCTGTTGTTGGATTTTTTTTAATTTATGTACTGTGTGATTTCAAAACGTGGCAGATTCGAAAATGTTATAGCCAATGTTGCCACTTTTTCAGTTATACCGGATTTTTTATTAACTTCCTTATTGAGAATAGGACACCCTGTAATTTATTGGATTTTCAGATAGGGTGTTTAAAATCTGAATTTTTCAACTTTAGTATTTTTTTGTGTCGAAACTATTCATTATCGATCAAAACCGCTCCAATGTTCCCATCTTTACTTCTGATTTACTATCTACTGACATTTAATTGAAACAAATACAGGGTGGTTCAAGATTCAGAATTCTGATCACCCTAGCTCTGTATCTGTTCCAATTAAATAGTCAGTAGATGGTAAATCAAAAGTGAAGATAGGAACATTGAAGCGGTTTTGATCGATAATGGATAGTTTCTACACAAAAAAATCATGAAGTTGGAAAACCTAGATTTTAAACACCCTATACCTATGTAATCATTCCCGCTCGACCCCAAGTGTGATAGATCGATGGAATCAGCTCTTCAAGGAGAATCTGGAAATCCAATAAAGTACAGGGTGTTTCATTCAAAATAAGGAAGTTACTGAAAATCCGGAATAACTGAAGAAGTGGCAACAGAGGCTATAACATTTTCAAATCCGCCACGTTTTGAAATCACACTGTACATAAATTCAAAAAATCTAACAACAGATTGTCGAGATATTCACCTGTTTCCATACATATCAGCGACCCTGTATTATATCTATGAAGAAGACTAACACAAAAAAATGTAGAAGGCTAAAACGAATAAAAGATAAGGATTATGAAATAAGTGATTAACAGTTTTTCATCGCTTTCCTGAAAGAACATAAAGATGGATATAACATAATTCTATTCATGGATTCATTTTGGCATTATTTTTCCTACAGAATGGTATCTTAAAAATGTCACTATTTCTGTGTCTTCTAGTATTTGGCGGAAAGCGTAGTCAGAGCAACAATTTCAGGAGAATCAATGTAGCCATTGATAATTTTATGGAGGAATAATGGATCAATTTCCATTCTTCTATGTATCAACGTATTCATGTTTAAAATATCTAATATTTGTGGATAATGGTATACATGGGAAAAAAGTTGTAGTTTTTAGCTCCAGGTTGTGTGAGCTAAAATCTAATATTTTTTCCGTGTGTAATACACTATTTTTTTCTGTGACAGGAAAAAGGACGAATCACTTTTTTTCTTTTTTTTTTCATTGCATATTGACATCCTCATAGGAAAAGTATCTCCCATTATTGGTGCTTTGAGAAGATGTCCTAAACTTAGTACATATACATCAAATATCATTCTCTATTCACATATACTCAGTCGAATTAACTATCTCATAAATATTTGGGGATCTTGTTCCAAAAATAGTTTCAACAAAATTTCTGTTCATATAAAAAGGCATTGAAAGTATTGTATCGTCTTCCATATGATACTCCAACGAATCAACTGTATAAGGAAACAAACACATTTTCTTTGGAAGAGCACTTTTTAATCAATACTCTCAAAATTTCCTATTATATCATCAACAAAAAGCTTAAATCAAATTTTATATTAATCAGGAATTCCGAAATTCATGATCATCACACTAGACAATATAACTTGTTTCATCTTGAAGCTGCAAATTCTGAATTTGGGCAAAAAAAGTTTACACATGAGGCGATTTCGAAATTCAATAAATTACCAGATGATATCAAAAACAGTCCAAATATTATGCAATTCAAAAATAAAGTTAAGAAATATATTTATATGCAAAGGAATGATCAAAGCTGAAAGACTATGAATTTCCTTTTTTCTTTTTTTTTCACTGTTTTTATTTTTCCCCTTCTTGTTCACTATAATATGACTGTATCTTAATGATATGTAAGTTTTGTTCACTATTTGTAATTTCAATTATACAACAGTCGATAATACTTCATGAATGATCTTATACCAGGAATTACTGTCTGATCATTCATGTCATTCCTACTAGAAAATTAATTATACTTTATATATTATTTGTATAAAATGTATCAATGAAGAAGAGAATGTAATGCAATAACTGAAATAAATAAAAAAAAAATTTACTGTCATCATTTGATGGAAATCCATAGCAAATGTTGAAACTTCAAACACACGACATGTTTCGCTAACACAGTAGCTTCGTCAGGTGAAATACTGGTACAATGAACCACCAGAACGAGGCAATGTTCAGTTTCGGAATATTCGTTTCATTGACTATCAATCCTTCGGGAAAGATCATCGCATCTCTTCAGAATGAGATTCTACAGGATGATGATTGAAGGAGTACAATTTTTAAAAAATTCCGAAGGTTTATCGTGATTCACCAAGATATTCACACAGGGTGCAACCTTCTCCTTACCTGTAGGCATTATCCATCAGACCTCCGTTGCACCCCTCGTCGAGCTTATCGCAATCGACCAGCTCCTGCTCGGAAAACTCCTGCAATTTTCCGTATTTGATGGCCGCTTGACCCTCCACATTTCCAGTGACACTGAAGGCCCAACAGCTGCCGCAACTGCCCTGGTCCTTCACCTAGAAGATATTCAATCAAATTAGCCAGGAAAGAAGTTGTTTTTTCTTCTTCCGTCTGTTAGCGTTGTTGTTCATTTTTTGAACATTTGGGGAAATAACTTGTGAATTTTCGACTATGACTATGTTCCAAATCAAACTGTCGGCAGTGCCAGTAGTGCCACTGATACTGCTGAAATTCTGCTGTTCCGAAATAGTTCGGAATTTACAATAATATTACTTGTGATGAAAGTCGGACAAATTCTACTTCAGTTATTCACAATGAATTTTGTAATAATTTAGTTTGGAATGAAACCATTGAAAAATAAGCTGCTTCATACGTGGACTAGCAAATAATTATTTTAGAAGGGTTTCCATGATGGTAAATCGATGTCAAATCGACCAAAACTGCTTCGAGATTCAATGGACAGAATTTATAAATGTCTTGATTTGAATAAGTGTCTTCAATAGTCATAAATTGCTGTTTTGCAGTTATTTTCATGAGAACAGACCAAAAATTATTTTTAGCCACTTTTCAAAAATGTCCCTCGAAAGAACACCTTGTAACTCTGAAACGAAGACAGATATCGTTATGAGGTTTTCACCATTGGATTTTGCAAGAGAATCGACCCTCTAGCACAAACATCAGTTTTTTTTATATCTAAATAGTTCGAGAATATGACATTCCATTTAAAAGTGTCTGATTTGGCCCACCTTGTACATAAACACTTCATCAATATGTAACTTCCCCATTTAGGTAAATGGAACCAATACCAAAAAAGTTTTTTATGCACTTAAGGGATTTACAGGGTACTTCAAATCCCTTCTCGGGAAAAAAGTTGTAAGTACATTTTAAATCCCTAGTGATTTAAAGTACCACTCTTTTCCCAGAAATATAGATCATCATAGTAATGAGGTCGTTGATATGGCAACAATCAGCCCCTTCTATGACGTTTTAGAAATGAGTACCTACCGTTTAATGGCATTTAATTTTTGTTGTTGTTATTTTTTCTTTCACGTTTTACCTATCCTAAAGTGCATAAAATAGTTTTTCCACCACCAACTATAAAACCTTTCATTATTTACTCCTTTTCGAGGAGTAAAATATGTTTTTACTACCAAGGTAGTTTTCGTCATTTTATGAACCACAAGTCAATAAAGACAAAGCCACCTCTGTCATGATTTACAAGAATTCTCTGTTCTAATGCGCCGAAATGGTACTCGATTCTCAATAACGACTTGTCATATGCAGTCATACAGGTAATGGCTACTAGATTTCAATTAGAATAGACAAGTGGACTTTTTATTTCTCAAATAGAATCATCACTCAAAAACCTTTCAATTTCATATTTTTTTAGAATTTTTCGGTTAATTTTCAGGTGCTAGAATCATCAATAATGCCAAGGCATTCGATCGAGTCAGGCACCATGGACTCCTCGCCAAGCTTCTATCTTATGGCTTGCCTCCCCAACTATGTTCTCTGCTAGCTAGTTTTCTCTCAAACAGGTCTCTCCATGTAGTGGTCGACGGAGTTTCATCTGACTCTCTTATCATAAATGCTGGTGTTCCGCAAGGATCAATTCTAGCACCAACACTATTTCTACTCCATATCAACGATTTTTTGGAAGCAACTTCATGTCCAGTACACAGCTTCGCGGATGATAGTATACCCTCCATACCGCCTTCTCTTCCAGGGCTCCAATACCAGCCAGGCAAATCAGAAACGAATGAGGGAGAAATGTTGACAACATAAATATGAACTTGGCAATAATTCTCGAATGGGGATCCAATACCTTGGTAGATTTCAATGCAAACAAAACACAAGCATGCCTTTTCTCTAGAGAAGCCGATCTCACTGTGCCCAACATAAGCTTGTCAGGAGTAACCATACCTTTGAAGACATCCGTTTCGATGCTTGGCATTGCTATCAGCAATAACCTTCCTTGGGAAAATCACGTGAGATCAATTGCTAAAAGTGCATCCCAAAAACTTGGTTTTCTGTTTCAGGCCAGGAGCTATTTCACTTCCAGTCAGCTGCTTATGATCTATAAGGCACAGATCCGACCTGTCCTGGAATACTATTCCCATATTTGGAGTGCAGCACCCAAACATGCCCTGAAACTGTTGGATTCAAACTCACTCCCTTTTCTGGAACACCGTTGAAAAGTTGACGATCTGACTCTATTTCATAGATATTTTCATGGACGATGCTCTACTGCAATATCAACAGTTGTTCCTCCCTTGGCGGTCCCCGCGAGATTAATCCGTCGAGTTGAGGCTTCGCACCCCTTCAAAGACTCGTTCATCCAACGAACAGCGAGGCTCTGGAACACATTGCCAAGGGAGTTGTTCCCCGAGGCATATAACTCCAGAAATTTAAAAAGAACACCAATTCCTACCTTATTTCCCTTGGTTCTCACGATGTTCTCGAACATTACAGGAAATCCCTTTTCGTGGGAACCAGAACATGAAAAAAAAATATGACTGACCTTAGTCACAGCGTTCTTTTCGCGCCAGTCGAAGGCGGGGGGCAGTTCGATGTCGGGTATCGATGCCGAAGGGAAGGGAATTTCGTTGTCATCTTTGCGCAGGTCCTGCCTCAGTCCGGTCATGCGGGCGAATTCTGCCTTGGTGAGGTCGGCGAATCTCGTCAGGCCATACGTGGCAGTACCTAAAAATATCAGTTGTTATTTTGTTCTACAAGCGATCAACGATACAGCCTTTGACTTCTGTCAAATCTCAATTTTTTTTTCAAGCAAAGCTTTATTCAGAAATGTATTTACATAATTACAGTGTTTCCTAAATCTAATACATATACTATTCACAGTTCTGAACAAATGTAACTCCTAAGCAACATACCGGGTGGCTACGGAAGTATTGCCTACGGAATATCTCAGTTATTGTATGAAGTAGGTTTGTGAAATTTGGAGCGTCGATATAATGACATAAGAGCTAGAATTTGAGCATATTGACATGTCGAAGTTAACTTCCGGTCTGACCGGAAGTAACATCAACTTTCTTATTTTAAATGGAAACCCTATTTTTTTTCTTTTCGCTTTATTCAGCATTCAATTCCCTTTCTAATGACATATCACAAGTTGGTATCTAACCAGAAACTAGATCAGAAAAAAATTATTATTGAAATTCACCTAGTAGGCCGTGGAAGCAAAATAAAAGCAAAAAAATGACTTTCTATTATATCATTAGAAAGGAATGGTTATGCTGAATAGTACAGGCAAGAAAAAGTTGTATGTTCCTATTTAAATTATGGACCTACAGAGTATTGTTTTTTTCCCATTTTTTCCAATATTTTTTTTGACGGCTTTTTATAACGCCGAGGAATGAAAATAAAATATCACAGTAGTAGCAACTGTTATCAAGTCACGTATGGTTTCCATAGGCAACTTTTCAATTTTTGGCTTTCATTTTGCTCCCACGGCCTACTCGGTGAATTTCAATAATAATTTTTTTCTGATCTAGTTTCTGGTTAGATACCAACTTGTGATATGTCATTAGAAAGGAAATTGAATGCTGAATAAAGGGAAAAGAAAAAAAATAAGGTTTCCATTTAAAATAAGAAAGTTGATGTTACTTCCGGTCAGACCGGAAGTTAACTTCGACATGTCAATATGCTCAAATTCTAGCTCTTATGTCATTATATCGACGCTTCAAATTTCACAAACCTACTTCATACAATAACTGAGATATTCCGTAGGCAATACTTCCGTAGCCACCCGGTATATGATGTTGGTATCGGAGTTCCGATTGTGTCCAATTCTTTTATTTATTGCTTTATTGTAATTTGTCAATTTGTAAATAAGTGCTTTCTCAGGTTTACAGTGAATTTCTTCTCATTGCTTATACTTTTAATTGAATTTGGAAGGGAATTATATGTTTGCATTCCTTCGTTCATAGGGTTTCTTAAAGCTATATTTGTTCGAACATTTTGAAGGTGTAGATTATTTCTGTTCCTAATGTTCCTAATTCTTAAAACTAACTGACCAGAAAAAATATCTTGGTATTTGGTTTGATGACAGGTTGAAGTGGGACAAACTTATTGATGTTTTTACAATGAAAATATCTGCAATAATTATTGGTGCATTGAGAAAATGTCCCAAACTTGAAATTCAAATTGCAAACATGATTCTCTACTCTCATATACTGAGTCGTATCACCTATTTGAAAAATGTTTGGGGATCTTGTTCAAAACATAATTTAAATGAAATATGAACATTATATAGAAAATCGTTGAAAGTACTATATCGTCTCCCATTTAATTCACCAATCAATCATTTTTTTGTATGAAATAACAAAGACGTATTCTTTAGATGAAATATATGGAATTGAAACTCTCAGAATTTCATATATCATAAATAAAAAATTAAAGTCGAATTAACTTACTTAATTGTTTTATTTTGTGATTTCATTAATGTTTTCAAATGTGATATACTTTTACTTCCCCAAATTGATATTAAATATTGTAATTTTGAGTAAATCAGGCAGAAATATATATTCTTCAAATATCTAAGAGGAATGAAATTTCGAATTTTGTATAAAATGCCAGTGATTGGATTCAGCTTTTTTCTCAGGTGATCTATATGTTTCAATATATAGATCTAAGAATTGTGTAACATCTAAATATTTTATGGCTTTCTGGTAAAAAAAATTGTTGTTTTCGATATATCAGTTTTTCTTTTTGAAATATACAAATTCGTAGATTTGTCATGGTTAAGAGTCAGCTTATGAATTTGTATGAAATTGGACCTAAAACGGAACCTTGTGGTACAACACATTTGATCTCCCTTATGGAGCGACAAATATTATTGACTTCAACATAATGCTTTCTATTTTCTATTTTTTAATTAATCAAATATTTTCCCTCTGATACCTATTGAATATATTTTACTCAGTAAAATATCATGATTTACAGCATGGACGTCACGACAAGATACCACATTTATAATTTTGATCAATTTTAAACTGAATATCCGAAATTACATCCATAACTCAGTGTCCATATTGACCACTTTATAGTAGATCAATAATTATTTAGAGGATCGGGAGAACTGAAATCGGACTGTAGTTATTAAGGTCATCTCTCTTTCCAGTTTTATGTATGGGTATGACTAGCAATTTTCATTTTATCTGGTACAATTCCAATTTTGAAAGATCTAGTAACAATATACAATAAAATCGGAGCTAATTCTACTTTGATCACTTTTACAATTTCAGCAGATATAGAAGGAGGAAGTAGGCAATGAAATTGTTTTCAAACTTTTGGTTATACAGCACGTCAATTTTCAACGTAGAAGATAATCAAGATAGGAAATTCAGTTGGAATCAGTTGAAATTATATTTTCTTACCGTCTTCATGCTCGTTCAGTTTTTTTATGGTTCTCAAATTATCCTGGAATATCACCATACGGATGGTTTGATGCATTGTACTAGGGTAGCTCTTATTGAAACTTTTCATATAAAACAAAAACAGTTCTTCTACTATTTCCTTTGATTCGTAATCTGAAAATTAATTATATTCATAGATGAAAACCCAAAGTCATCTCCACAACTTTTATTTAATGATCATAGATCATATAAGGGAACATGTTTCGGGCTTATATAAGCCCATCATCAGCCAAGAAAATGTAAAGTTATGGAAGTGGAAAATGTTGCAATGTGTATACAATAAGCAATAACGGAGCAAGCAAAACCCATTGCTCCATGATTGTTTATATGATAAAAATGTTTTTTAAAATTTTTTAATAAAGTTGAAGGTTGGGGGTCGGGAACATATTTAATAAGGGCCCACGGTACCCTTAAATCACCAATAAGTGGTAATTAAACTTGAAAATATCAATCTTTTATAATAAGAAAGATGTGGCTTCGGAAATAACCAAGAAAAGAATTTGGATCCTTTTCACTTATCGGTGATTTAAGGGTACCGTGGGCCCTTATTAAATATGTTCCCGACCCCCAACCTTCAACTTTATTAAAATTTTTTAAAAAACATTTTTATCATATAAACAATCATGGAGCAATGGCTTTTGCTTGCTCCGTTATTGCAACATTTTTCACTTCCATAACTTTACATTTTCTTGGCTGATGATGGGCTTATATAAGCCCGAAACATGTTCCCTTATATGATCTATGATCATTAAATAAAAGTTGTGGAGATGACTTTGGGTTTTCATCTATGAACTACACCACTCCACTTTGAGTTACCATGGACTTCTTCCAAAGATTATTAATTATATTCTCGGTAACATATGGGAATATCGAATATACAGGGTTATCCAAATTAAGTGTCCACAGCCATTAGAAACTTCATTATTAAGGATACAAAACTGTTGAAATTAACAAACTTTCGGTATTTTTGACTGAAAGAAAATTTCTCGAAACTTTTTGTATATAAAATTTGATAAGTTAACAAAAGGAATTTTCACGAATTTTCACCTAAAAAAGAAATGACATTTTTCGTTCAAACTCAAAATCGCGATGGTAAATTGTTTTCTTTTCATTCCTCCATTTGAATGATGGATTTCATAACCCTGCAGCATGTTGATTTTTGGTAAGCTATACTACCTATACTAGGTGTAGATGAATTTTCGAAATTTTGCCGTCATTTGCTTGCTAAAAAGGGGAGTAGACGCTTTCTCTGAAATCGCCACTGCTTCCAGTGGGTGTGTTAATATGTATAATTTTTTATTGACTCAGAAATTTCATATCATACAAGGTGGACACTAGGAAATGTCTTTAATATATTCAACTTGAACGCCCTGTATCTTGTGAACGAATAGCCTTCTAGGACATGTTCATTGGAACTACTCTCAATATTTTTAGACGCCTATAATTACCTCTGAAGTACATTCAACATCTAATTATGAAACACCCTGTATATTTTTATTCTGATCATATTTTTACTAGCTAAAACGGAAATGTGCAATGTACCTTGCAGATCTCTTCTCACTCGGAATGAATAAACTTTGTCTTCGTTCTCACAAGTGATGTTGGTGAGTTTCCCCTGTGGTAACCAAGGCTGGTCCCAGATTTTGAAATTGCATATTCTACTTGGAGCCCCCGCCAGTTCTCCGCACTCTTCTACTGCCCCATTGTGGCTTTTTTCGCAATCCGAGAGAATTACTTTCGCTTTGACTCTCCACATAATACCAGAAACAACCTTAAAACAATCCTAATTAATGAAAAAACAGAAACTTGTTGGATACTTATTGAGTTGAAGGATAATTTTATTTAAATAATGGGTCTTTCCTCATTTGTTACTGGATGTTTTTTTGGGTACACTTATGTATCAAACGTTTCTCTTATTTTTAAATTGACTCGACCGTTACTTGATGAAATCCACTGGCAAATGTAAAAACTTCACAAACAATAAGATTTCCACAAAACTCTCAAACACACACGACACGGAAATTAGCCACAATATAAACTACTCAACACTAATTTCGTCGCACACCAAAATGTCGCCTGTTATAATGTGAATAACTTTTTTCAGTTTGGAACAATTTGAATTTGGTTCACACTGTTCGATAGCCCAGTCCTTCAGCTATAATATCGTACTTCATTGAAACAAAAGGGTATTCACATAAAATCTCTACATTCTTGTAACGTTGGTTACGGGCCATGCATTACAGAGGAGAAATGGTCTGATGTTTTTGAAAGAACATGTTTCAATTGTGTTTTCTCACGCACATTCTTGAGTACTGAGAGCGAGGAAAATATGGACGCATCCAGAATGAATTGTTTTTCCGAGAACAAGTTGATTTTCATTCAATTTTCCTCCCAACCGAGATTCGGAGATCGTTCTAGATTTGGGTCACTTTCAAGAAAACTCTAGATCTTTGATAGCCATCTTGAGTCAATTCTGATATTCAGATCTCTTCATCTGAAGTTTTATCTTCAAAATGAGCCAAAGATTTCCAAAATCGGTTGACGTGGAAAAAAGTTATGGCTGCAAAACCAAAAAGATGATTTTTTGAGATCACTCTGTAAATAAGAGAGATAGGAAGTTTAATCGCGAAATATCTCGAGGTAATGAGATCATCTTCATGCCTCTGTTGTCGAAGTTGAGAAAACTTTTTTTTTACCATTTGAGAGCCTTTTGAATATTCCGAAATTTTGCACAGTGTCGGAAAACACCATGTAGAGATTTTATGTGAATACCCTTATGTTTCAATGAAGTACCAGATTATAGCTGAAGGACTGGGCTATCGAACAGTGTGAACCAAATTCAAATTGTTCTGAACTGAAAAAAGTTATTCACATTAAAACAGGAGCGACATTTTGGTGTGCGACGAAATTAGTGTTGAGTAGTTTATATATTGAAATATGGTGTACTGGATTAACTTGAAAGGGTTGATAGTTGATAGCAAATACATATTATTACCTACTAAGGAAACAAATTCAACAGTGGTGAACTATTGAGGCCTAATTGATCGTTGAGTAAAATGTCAGAATTTTTGAGTTTGTTGATTTCTAATGATTCAAAATGATTGAGTTCCATTCCTTTATTTTCTACGTGTAGAATTTCGAAATTATCATCAAAACTATGGTTTTCTTCTAATATATGGTTGGCGTATGTTGAATTTGTTTTCGTTTTCAAAAAATTCATGTCATGTTCATGAATGCGCTGATTAAACGTACGACCTGTCTGACCAATATATGCCTCAGGACAAGTACCACAGTTGAGTTTGTATACCCCTGATTTTTCGAATTTAGAAGTTTTGTCTTTATTATTTTTCTCTTATTCTTGTATCTGAAGGATGATTTTTTTTTGACAATATAGTACAATTTACCTGCAAAATAGATGAATGTAAAAAACACAAATTTGTACTTTGAAATATGTTGCTTTCTAATATACATGGTGTTGCGAAACTCAACTGACTTTGCTTCACAGGCACTTATCTTCAATTTTCCGATTTCTCTGTTCAATTTTGTTGAAAAATAACCCATAACCTCAACTGAGATAAAATGGATAGTCGAAATATTAGATTTAAAATAAAGCTTCCATACGCAATTTTCATCATTTTCGATAATAAGTAGAAAATTATAAAAAAAATTGTATTTCTTTTTTTGCATGAAATAACAATTTCTGTTCAGCTAAATGATGAAAACTGAAAATTACTTTATCGCAAGCAAATGCAGTTAAGCTCCCAAGAATTTTTTTTTCTACGGCTATAACACAGAAATGCTCTCTTTTTACTGTGTTCCATAAATCAATGAAGTCCTTTCTATATCTTCAATTTCATATCCGTATCTGATTTCACAATGATTTCATTGTGATATTATTTCACAAAATCTCATCTCACCATGTCAAATTTCAAGAAATGACAGCACTGTCTAAGGAAATCAGATGGCTATAAGCCAAAGAAATTAAACGTTTTGCTGTAATCTGTGACAGTCGTAGAAAAGGTATAGTGTATAACACGCACGGAATGCTAATTTTCTACTCGTATTATTTGCAGCATGAGCCGTATTCTCGTGGAAAAAGCTATCATTCCGTGCTCGTGACACAATATACTATTGTAAGAAGCTGAAATTGATGAAATAGGTTCATGCAAGATTTTTGTCAATGTCAAATATTTCAAATAGGGTTGTTTGAAGATAGTTCAAGATCATGTATTGTTTCAACAATAGGGAATTCGATAAATTAGAAATGATCTTAAATTTGTGTTAAAAATTTATGTATTTGAAGGTAAGACCATAATATAAAGAATATGAATGCGAAAAATTCATCCCTTCTTGAGTTATTGCAAAGAACACTGTTTATTTATGAACTTGTTTTCAGGAACTGAGCACTTGAGGAAACTATGTTCCTATCTAATTCTTCATCAAATCAGGATAGACAAAGTTAATGAAAATAATAATAGAGTTCAGTATTTGAGAGATGGAACAAGAGATACAAATATAGAAATATCTACTCCAAAATGCATTTTCTTCTTTGGATTTGTTTTTTCTTTGGATTTTGATTTTCTTACCTGTGAGCTTGCTTCCAGTATTTCCTGGATCTTATATTTGTTAGCATGTGCTGATTGCGAGTCCAAATGAACCAAACCGTCGTTCAACAATTTCTTCACCTCGGGATCATCGGTAGGCCTTTTTCTAATACCACCGGCCAAAGCGTGTCGTTTGGTCCTCGTAGCAGCTGGATTGGAAAAAAAATAATCTTCGTTAATGTTAGCTATTTTTGATATACAGGGAGTTTTCGAAATTGGGACAATGAATGATAAAACAAAACGAAATTAAAAAAATATTTTCGTTTCACAGCAACATATTTGAGAATCACTCGCCATCAGAGGTTCGGCCGAACACGAATGCGGTCGAGTATATTTTCACATTATATGGTAGTTTTGCTAGTATTTCACCAAAATCGGACCCCAACTACCCTTTCAGAATCAGGTAGTGAATCTCGATGTTTTAGAGCATTTTATACCCAAAATACCAAGCAGTTCGATGTTGATGCTCTGTGAAGACAGACTTAATGAAGTTTTATTATTCATTCTCAGTTTTTTTACAAGATACACAATATTACCCCAGGAAACAAGCCACAAGTATTTGCAGTTTTTGTTCCGGTTCAATCTTCGAGTGCTTTTTGTTGTAAATCCTAATTTTCGAGACTTAAAAAACATTTTTGTTTCATTAGTGCATTGTGTATGTATTGGTTATTTTGATTTTGGTAACAGTGCGGAAAAACACAACGTACTGGGGAATCAAACCCAAACTATGGTAAGTTCAATCATAAATGAATGAATAACTTACATAGTTCCAAATAGAGGTCACTGGCTTACCGAAAATATCACCGACAAGGGCGATTTTTGCATATTTTTTCCAATGAACAATGAATATTATACCCCGCCTACTAGGAGAGTGTGATGTGATGTAAATCACCCTATATACCTTGCAGATCTCTCCTCATCCGGAACGAATAAACTCTCTCTTCATTCTCGCATGTGATGTTCGTGAGTCTGCCCTGTGGTAACCAAGGCTGGTCCCAGATTTTGAAATTGCATATTCTACAAGGAGCACCCTCGAGTTCTCCGCAGTCTTCTACTGCCCCATTGTGATTTTTTTCACAATCAGAAAGAATCACTTTTGCTTGAATTCGCCACAATGTACCTGAAACGACCTAGAAACGGAAATGAATGATAAAAAACATACTTGTGATCTGAAGATATTATGAACAAACTAAACCGTCCTGATGGCGTATTTCCGAACCCATGTGCAGTACAGAGCGCCACATTATACTCGTGTTCTGTACTGCACTTTGTTTTGCATAGTAAATTGGCTGCTATTGAGAAACTGAGACAATTTTTAATACAAACCCATAAGCATTCCAAACTCACTTCACGCCATACGTCAAAATTGTATTACTGCCCCACAGTTCAAGTTCCTCGAATGTTTAATCTGATTCCGGCAACTATTGCCTCCAAGTTCAATGATTTTTTCGTTAAAGCTCCAATCAAATTGGTTAAACAGATACCTCCAAGTAATAATGGCGTATTTGATAATGAAAAGGATTTCAACCCTTACACAATGTTTTTGAACCCATTTACGGAATATGAATTACTCTCATTGTTAAAAACAAACTAAAGAATCAAAAATCGTCTGGACAAGATGACATACCTATGTTTATATTGAAAAGAGTTCTTCCTTTGTGAGAGGTGATTTTCCACAAAGTCACTCATATTTTCAAAAAGAAAGACACAACCCTTGTGGAAAATTATCGTCCTGTAACCGTCGAAAATTCCAAACAATTGAATTGCAGAAATCATTTTTCCTTTTTTTTCAGGCTGGTGAGTTTTTCTTCGATTTTTTTATTATGAGTGGTAGTATAATCTGATAGGTATTTTGAGCCGAAACCACTCGATACATCCAGAAATTTCAGAGTAGCTACTTCTTTGATTTATTTCCACTACGTGTGACCAATATTTTTAAAACAAAAATTGTTTGCCTGTATTTCACTGTTAGTGATTTTCGAAAAATAATAGCACCTGTATACAAAATATCTCCACCCAAGTTCAATTTCATTATCATCATTAGTCATAGATAAATCATTTTTTGTTGTTCGGACATTAATCGGTTAGCAGCATGATTCATCTTATTAGTCATTCATTCGGGACCAGGTGGTAAATCGAGACAGTCTTATAATAGATGTCATCAGGTACGGTAGAATTTTGTGATCGACATCGAAAAATACGCGAAAGGAATTATTTATCGTTCTAAACTGAGTGTTCCCTAAAAACTGAGTGATCGTATTGATTCGATTCAATAATAATGATATCGGGATCGTGTGTTGTTCTAGTGTTTTGTGTTGTTTCATTAAAGCCTCACTTTTTTCACGCTGGTGAGTGCAGAGAAATTCTCTCAATTTTTCTTCATATTTTTCTGTATTCATTTAACTTCATTACCCTATACAGGGTATGTCACGACGAGCTTACACTATCTTTAAATCGAGAATCAATCCGGAGAAATCCATGAAGATGTGCATGCTTATATTTTGGTATACGCTCTTTTCATTTAAGATATGTTCGACAATGCAGTGTTGCCGCTTCTACTAGAAGGTAGTAGCAACATTGATATTTCGAACGGAACACCCTGTATTTTAGGGGTCTATCGAAAATGATTACAGATATATAGGGTGTTCAAAATCGATATTTTTCAACTTTAGGATTTTTTTGTGTCGAAAATATTCATTATAGGTCAAAACGGCTCACATGTCCCTATCTCAACGTTTGTTTCAATATTTACTGATATTTAATCGGAACAGATACAGAGTGGTTCAAGATTCAGAATTCTGATCACATGCATATTTTCATGGATTTTTCCCGACTGATTCTCGATATAGAGATAGTGTAAGCTCGCCGTGACATACACCCTGTATGTTTCGTACCGTTTGTTGTATTTTCTCCGATCAAGGAATACTTTCTTCTGATTTTCGTGCTTCCTGTTCGAAACTGTATCTTTTAAGAATTTACCATCTTCAATAACTGTAATACAGAACGTAATCTTGATTTTAGCAAAATCTTCATCTATGGTCAAGTCATAACATTTGAACCACTGTGTATAATCGATTCATACTTGGTAGGTATATTCAACTCATATTTCTCATCAAAACTAAATATGAATCGAATTCAGAATCCAGATCCGTCTTCAGGAAAATAATTTTTTTTTAACAGTGCGCATACAATTTGGAAAATAGTATATTTATTGAACTCGTTATTCAAATAATTCAATTTTATTACAAAAAAATAACCAGTCCTCAAATTTCAACTTGATTAGAGCCGAATTAGGTGATTAGGTGATATCGCTGGATTTCGTTCCATAGAACAATTTGTCAATTATTTTAGATATTTTCGAGTACTCATTACATTTTCACACACACAAATTAATTAAGTATTGAATTCTTGTACATACGTAGATTTATATTCCGAAATTATTTATTTAGTATTGTCAGTAATTTTATATACATATATATTATAACACCGAAGTTCTTCCATTTCATTCATTTTTATATCTATCCATTTTGATTATTTTGTATATAAATATTTTACAGTCTTGAATTTTTGTACCTACTTAGTTTTATATTCCAAAATTATTAATTTTAGTATTTTCAATAATAGCTCGTCAAACGAAATTCATACTACGCGCTTATAAAAAGTAGACCACATTGTTCATTATTTTCCTCTTCTTTCCAGTTAACAAAACATATCTAGATATTTTGGGAAAGATTATATTTTCAGCCAAGGTAAAATTGTTTAAAATCATTAGACTGTCGAAAATAATACATTCAGTACATCCGTGTTCAATACTTCATCTTGTATTTTGTATACTATATATCTCTTTCCCCCCGTATAATCATCATTAGTCGTGAACTCCCCCCCCCCCCGTATAATTCCATTATCATCATTAGTCATAGATAGATCATTTGTTCGAAAATTAATCGGGTCCAGGTGGTAAATCAAGACAGTTTTATATTAGGTGTCATCACGTACGGTCGAAGTTTGTGATCGACATTGAAAAATACACGAAAGGAATTATTTATCGTTCCAAACGGAGTTTGAAAAATTAAACTGTGGCGATAGTAATGTGTTTTTTTATTCCTCAAACAATGGAATTGCAGAAATAATTTTTGACCTTTTTCACGCTGGTGAGTTTTTTAAAAATTTTTTATTATGAGTGATAGGTATTTTGAGCCGATACCATTCGATACATCTAGAAATCTTAGAGTAAGTACCCCTTTTATGCATTTTCATATTCATATACGTATATTTTGTGAGAAATGAATGCGATTAGAACAAACCCGAAAAAAATTTGTCAATCGGTATCGCTGACTGTGCTAGGCTAGGTACCGCAACTGCCAATTTTCACAGAGAAATTTTCGAAGTCGTCGAAATTTCTTTGAAATGGTTACACACGAATTGTCAAACTCTTATTATTATCCATATACTCACTCAGATTGGAAATTTGTCTCGAAATACCCTGTACTAATTGTATAATTTCCTATGGTATATTATATTTATATCCAGCCCGCATTCCTGGATAAGGTGATTAGTCATAAAATTTTAACTCCCTGTTGAAATATCAATAACTTTTTTTCTGCTTTGAACAATTTGAATTTGGTTCACACTGTTCGCTAGCCCAGTCATTCAGCTATAAGCTCGTACTTCTTTAAAACATGAGATTCTTCATATAAACTCGGTACAGGGTGTCACCTGAAACTGTGAAAAATTTTTGAATTTTCAAAAGGATCCCAAATGAAGTGATATCGAAAAATTGACTTTTAGGTTTTGCAGTCATAACTTTTTTCCTTCCCAACCGATTTTTAAAATCTCAGGCTCATTTTGAAGATGAAACTTCAGATGAAGAGATATGAAGATCAGAATTGACTCAAGATGAACATTGCACAGTGTGTCTCACTTTTAATGGAAGCATCCCTGTATCTTTCGTATTTGTTTAGTTAGGATTCTGAAATTTGCAGGAACGGTAGATATATACTGAAAGTACACACTATAACAAAGTGAAGTCATCTTCAGTGATATACACTGCTTGCTAACAGCCATGGAACCATCCACAAAAATGAAATAGGCGAGTTGACTAATTTTTTTTATTTCTCAAATAGAATCATCACTCAAATAACTTTCAATTTCATATATTTTTAGAATTCTTCATTCGATTTTGAGGTGCTGAGGTCAACAATAATGCCACCGTAATTTTCAAACGGCTAAAAATTTACCGCGAGTAAAAACTGACATCACGATTCCGTAAGTAGGGACAGACCATAGCATAGTTGCCATATGTTGAAATACGATTGGAACTTAGGAAATATTAGTTTTTCAATGATTCACAAATTCTCAATTTTGTATTGGTTATATTCCTAATTAGACATAAAAATCAATTGTCTCAAAATATTTCCTCATCTGATGTGGCTTATTGTTTATGATACATTTGTGTTAATATTAATATTATTATATTAATTCACACTAGAGGATATTTGAGGTTGAAGGTGACAACCAGGCGCACGAATTGTGGGCAGTGCCTTGACAGTTCTCAGCATTCAGCACATTGTTGCCAAGTCTTCAACATCAACATGATATTTTGTTATAGGGTACAAGAGATATACAGACATGCTGATTGCTTGAAAAAGTCAAGAATAATCTATAATATCATGGCTCACTCTTATTATGTTTCATCTCGTGTTTTATCCAACGACATGACTCTAATCTTTATGATAAATTAATTATAATTGGTGACTTGACAACGTTGCTTCATGAGTGGAAATGGAAGATTATTTTTGCAGTATTGCAGTATCATTGCAGAGAAAAGTGTTGTTTATCTGCCTGCCTCGTCTTCATTGAGATAGTTGATGAATTGATGAATTACAAAAATATATCGCGTTCCAGATAGGAATGTTGGAAATATTATTCAGGTATGTTTCAGATTCAACATCCATGTTCCGCCTCTGATGAAAATCAGTATTAATTTTTATGGACTTCGATATTTGATGTCATGTTTATTTGCAGATCCAAGAAGCAGTGTTTGATACTTGCCACTCAATCAGAGAAAACCATCCAGTAGATACGGACCGAACAGACGATCCGCCAAGAGAACTGACGAGATGAGTATACTTTACAGAATTCAGATCATTATATTCGTACGGAAGGCGATATATTGATTACCTTTCCAGATTCTCAAGCAGACAGATAGACAGATATTCAGCTTTATGTCTCTATGGAAACACGACAGGTACCCTTACGAGGGGAGAGTATCAACTCGGCGTTCATAAACCCTCTCTGCAAAGGAGGTAGGCGCATGGTGGGTTAGGTATATACAGTGTTCTTCATTGCAGAGAAAATTGTTGTTTATCTGCCTGTCTCGTCTTCATTGAGATAGTTGATGAATTACAAAAAAATATCGCGTTCCAGTTATGAATGTTGCAAACAATATCCAGACTTTTCATAGATTCATATTCTATGTAGGTCTCACGATTCAAATTAGAAATTGATACTTAGTTTTAGATCTGAGCAGCACATTGTTTGACCTTCAAGGTCCTCAATATAACCCACGTAATTGAACATGTGGAAGATGCCTACTGGAAAAACCATTATACGGAAAGAAAGCGGATATGTAGCAATCTACTAACTGACGTTGAAAATATTATTCAGGTATTTCTCAGATGCAACATCTATGTATATCCTCTAATGATATTTTCTGATTCAAATGTACTTCGATTTAAATGTGATGTTTATTTGCAGATCCAAGAAGCAGTGTTCGATACTTGCCACTCAATCGGAGAAAACCATCTAGTAAATACGGACCGAACAGAAGATCCGCCAAGAGAACTGACGAGAGTATACTTTACAGAATTCAGATCATTATATTCGTACGGAAGGCGATATATTGATCACCTTTCCAGATTCTCAAGCAGACAGATAGACAGATATTCAGCTTTATGTCTCTATGGAAACACGACAGGTACCCTTACGAGGGGAGAGTATCAACTCGGCGTTTATAAACCCTCTCTGCAAAGGAGGTAGACGCATGGTGGGTTAGGTATATACAGTGTTCTTCATTGCAGAGAACATTTTTGTTTATCTGCCTGTCTCGTCTTCATTGAGATAGTTGATGAATTGTTGAATTACAAAAATATATCGCGTTCCAGTTATGAATCTTGAAAACAATATCCAGACTTTTCATAGATTCATATTCTATGTAGGTCTCACGATTCAATTTTGAAATTGATACTTAGTTTTAGATCTGAGCAACACATTGTTTGGCCTTCAAGGTCCTTAATATAACCCTCGTAATTGAACATGTGGAAGATGCCTACTGGAAGAACCACTATACGGAAAGAAAGCGGATATGTAGCAATCTAGTTACGGACGTTGACAAAATTATTCAGGTACAGGTATGTATCAGATTCAACATCTATGTATTTCCTCTAATGATATTCTGATTCAAATTTACTTCGATTTAAATGTGATGTTTAGTTGCAGATTCAAGAAGCAGTGTTTGATACTTGCCACTCAATCGGAGGAAACCATCCAGTAAATACGGACCGAACAGAAAATCCGCAAAGAGAACTGACCAGAGTATACTTTACAGAATTCAGATTATTATATTCGTACGGAAGTCGATATATTGATTACCTTTCCATATTATCAAGCAGACAGATAGACAGATATTCAGCTTTATGTCTCTATGGAAACACGACAGGTACCCTTACGAGGGGAGAGTATCAACTCGGCGTTTATAAACCCTCTCTGCAAAGGAGGTAGACGCATGGTGGGTTAGGTATATACAGTGTTTTTCATTGCAGAGAAAATTGTTGTTTATCTGCCTGTCTCGTCTTCATTGAGATAGTTGATGAATTGATGAATTACAAGAATATATCGCATTCCAGTTACGAATGTTGAAATCAATATTCGAACTTTTCATAGATTTATATTGTATGTAGGTCTCATGTTCTCAAATTTGAAATTGATGCTTAGTTTCAGATCCGAGCAGCACAGCAGCATATTGTTTGGCCTTCAAGGTCCTCAATATAACCCACGTAATTGAAAATGTGAAAGATGCCTACTGGAAGAACCACTATTTGAAAAGAAAGCGGATATGTAGCAATCCAGTTACAAACGTTGAAAATATTATTCAGGAATGTCTCAGATTCAACATCCCTGTACTTCATCTAATGATATTTATTTTCTGATTTGAATGTATTTAGATTGATGTGACAAAGAGTAAGTAAGTAAGAGTGTGAGTAAGTGACAGACTTTGCTCTGCTATCCATGGTTACATAGTTGAAAACACCAACGCTGATAGACCAACCAGAATTGAAAGACAGCTATAGTGTTTTCACCATAACACAAGAAGCTGACTCTGGCTTATGATTGGTCAGATTATGTGATGTGTGAGATAATCAGTATAATGTTGGTTTAATTGGTTGTGTTCAATCATATGACACAAATCAACTGATTTAATTGAATTTCTACTTGAGCAAAACATTTTCATTCATAATGTTCACCTGTGAGCTTGCTTTCAGTATCGCCTGGATCTTAAATTTGTTAGCATGTGACGACTGCGAGTCTAGATGAAGCAACCCGTCGTTGAGGTATTTTTTCAATCTAGGATCATCTGTAGGTTGATCTGAGATACCTCCAGGAAGGCCTATCTGCCGTTTTCTTCTCGTGGAATTGCAGTTCATCTTTGTGACAGCCGGGTTGGATAATTCTTCATTAGTGTGTATCAAGATGGTACATCTATTGAGACAGAAAGACACAAGAGATAGAATGAGACAGAAAGACACGAGAGATAGAATGAGACAGAAAATATTAGAATAGATAGGTGCTCATTAATTTGCAATGCAAAGTATAACCTGACAAACAAATCTTTTCATTTTATCTTTCTGCTACCCACACAATTTTAAGCCTGCAATACCAAATATACAAAGTGACCAAACTTTGAAACATTTGATCAGCCAATTATGATTTCCTGAGTAGAATGAAGAATTTGATGTCAGTTTCTTCACCTCAATTTTCAATTGATTACCTGCTTTTCGAAAGTACTGTATATTCCACCAAATAATGTGAATCTTGTGAGGGGAATTAACAAAATAAAATTTGGGTAAAACTCCACTTATCATGCGATGGTTTTTTTTCGCAAAATTTTTTGTACTTACGTATTTTTTGAACAAAATGTCAACAGATTGCTTTTGAAAGACATTACACACGCCATTATTTTAAATGATATTCTTCCTTCTTTTCACTGAATCACAAGAAAATCATATTTCTAGTTGACTCATATAGTGGAAAAAAAATGTGCCATTGAAGAACATTGTGATATATAACTTGTCCAACGATGAAAAAAGAAGGGCAAATTATTCCAAATGCTATCCAACAGATAGGTGGAAAAGAAGGTGAAATTCGTAATTTTATAGTGAAATATCTTAATAAATAATGGTTTGTTCACATTTTCATTATCAAATTCGTGTTTTTTCAAACAGATACGTAAGAACTAAAAAAAAAACTGGAAAAAAAACCGTTGCATGATGTGCAGTTTTACCAAAATTTTCAACTTACATTTTATTCATACAATGTTGAGATATTGAAAATAGAAAACGTCGATGCTAGTTCGAGAAATAAGTTAAGTTTTGTAAAAATAAAGATGATTTGACATGGATCCATAAGTCAGACAGTTTAAAGAAACACAAGAGTGCAGCGTCATCCGAGGGGGGGGGTCGGAATGAATTCAGAAGAATGTTGTTGTCTTGTTTGATGAGGTGATTTTAGATATTTAATAAACTCAAAGATCTGTATGTTCGAAAATTATACACACGACTACTTCTGGAATCCATAGAGAATCGCCGGGTATGTTCATCAAAACATAATTACCTTTGAGCTATTACTGCTTCTGTATCAACCATCAAGACTACTTGGTAATACACACCGCTGATTTCCACTTTGACCACACTCAGAATTTTTATTTTAGAATTTTCCCAACCTTCCTGATCTATCAGTTTCGCCAGCATCTGGTCCAAGAATTTCTTTTCTCTCTAAGAACATAAAATCACTAAACATACAAAAATGCCTACAATATTTGATATCCAATGAGTTGGGATATTGTATTTTAGTTATACCAATAATACCTTAGACAAACTGTCTCCTTTTCCAACAGACCATTTACCTCCACTAGTTTCTATTTCATTTTTTTCAGTTTCAACTTCATTTTTTTGCTCTCTTTTGCCCGTTTTTTCTTTACAGTCTTCGCTATCGCTACTGGAGCTACTGCTGCTTGAGCTACTACTTGAACTACTACTCGAACTACTACTCTTCCCACATGATTTATTGGATCGTTTTTGTCGTAGAAGTACTAGTTCCTCATTGTCCTCTAAAGAATGGTTTTCTTCAAGGGGATTCTGCACTGGTTGCTCATTTTCACCCATAGATCTCTGTGCATTTTCTTTGACAATGTCTTCATAAATTGCTTCTTGTTGATCGTTTTCATTCATTTTTGGAGACATCAATTCTGGTACATCATTTCCAAGATGGACTTCTTTATGCATGATGAAATTTGGTCCATTATTAAGTGGTTCATGGATATCATTTAATGAGTAAGAATTTTTCAAGGGTTCGCCGACACTCGTCTCAGGTATAATCTGAGATTCCAGATCTGCCAAGAAGTCATCGGTAATGAGTCTATCTCCACCTTTTTTGGGGACAAAACTTTCCTCACTGGGTACAAACTCTTGGGATATAGTACAATTATTTTTTATAATTGTTTTTCTCAGGTTCACCCAAGGCTTTTCTAGGTATTCAATTTGGCAAAAGAAAGAATCTTTATTCTGATCAATAGGACAGGAGGACACTTGAGTGTTCTTTGGGCAAAGAGTAGGTGCTATTTCAACGAGGAGAATATATTTTATTCCAGCTACCACCTTCAGAAAATAAGGAGTGATTTTATAAAATAGGCATAGCTAAATTTATATACGGTATCTATACCTGTTGCTGCAGTCTATGGACCTTGATTAAAACGTGTTTTTCGTCATGTTCGGACTCTACATGTTTCAAGGCCGTGTCGATTAATGTTGAAACACCCTGTGCATCAACATTCAGATCTAAGGGACACCCCAAACAAGGATGTGTTTTTCTTTCATCCTCATCGTTGGAGTTCTCAATCTACAGAAAGAAACAGCTCAAAGAAAGAGGTGAAAGATGGGTTTCATTGATGGTTTCATATAATTTTTCTAGAGTGTCCAAATGTCTCTATGTAGACCTACAGGGTGTTCGGTAAGCTATGGATCATACTCGAGCTGGTAATGAATAATTTCATAACCTATTAGAAAACCACAACTTGACCACAGTAAAATTCTTACGGATTTCACAATATTGGAACTTTTGTAAAACAAAATTGAATTCCGATCTCCATCAGATCAGATGATACGATAAGAATAATATCTAAGCATCTGAATTTTTATATTCTTAAAGTTGTGTATCATGCTAACTTTGAATCAATCTTCAGACATGGTATAGTGTTCTATGGCGGTAGTAGGTCTATAGACCGCTCATTTATTATCCAGAAAAGGGTTGTATGAGAGAGAGAGAGAGAGAACATCTTTATTAGGGATATACCCCAAAAGGCCATTGACCGAAGTCTTTCAGCCCGGGTTGTATGATTTATGTATGAATTAAATTATTATATAGAGAATCATGTAGGAGGAAGTTTTGTTCAGCTAAAATATTAGCAATAATTGTTGCTGTGTATATTCAGGAATGTCTCTTGTTCTTAACTAAGAATCGGTCATTTTTTCCGATTATGTACCCCAACACGACAAACATAAATTATAATCACCCTGCACATTGATTGGCGGTAACAGAAAAAATTATTCAACAAGTTACCAGAAAGAATGAAGTCACTTTCCTCTCCAAACGTTTTAAAAAAAGATATATAGAAAATTCTAATAAACCTGGAACCCTACCCCATAAGTGATTACCTTGAGGCGAAATTAGAATAAATTGTTTAGTCATTATTTGTATCTATTTTTATGTTTCTATTTGTACTTTACATTTTTGTGATGGTTTTAGAAGCCTATTGTTTGACGCCCGTTTGTTTCTACAAACTTTTACAGGTCTAGTGTTTGTACTTGGCTGTTTTTTTCAAATATAGATTATTATTATTATTAATAGTAGTATTAGTAGTTGTAACAATTATTGCAGAAGATAGAATTTCGATGAGTCATTTATAGTCTTCAAAAATTTTGAACAAAGTTTCATCATAGAAACCAGGAAAGATCAAATCGGAAGATAATTTCTTTTATTTTGTAAACTGTGAATGACTGCTATAGAAAATCTGGCAACTGCAATTGTTACAATTACCTACTATTCAGTAATATTTATCGAAAATATGAATTGACATGAAAAGCTCCTTATTTGCTTGGAACATGGAAGAAAAATCCCTGATGAGAATTCAATTTTTTTTCCATTATCTCGAAAACCATGAGGTTTTTACTGAGGTGGAGTTTTGGTTTCCTGATAGGTTATGAACTAGTTTATCACCTGCTAGAGTATAATCCCTCCTATGATTCATGGTTTACCGGACACCATGTATAATATTATTATATACCGTGGAAAATAGTTATTTGCAAATACTAAAAACATATCAGAGTATAAACAAAGAAATTTATGAAAAAAATTTAACTTGTACATTAATCATAAGGGTTTGAAGCCCTTTCTTTGAGTCAGTTTCACTTTTTTATTCATTTTGTATGCAATAATAAATTGCAATAATAAAACTGGAAAAAAATAACAGAAAAAGTGCCTCATTTGGAATAATGCTTTTGTATCCCTAAAATAGAACAAGTATTTACATAAGAATCCTTCTGAGAAATGAAATTATAATTTATCAAACCAATTTGACCTCTGAATTGATTGAATATTTTGCCATTGAGCAGAGATTATGATTATACACCATTAAGTGATTAAACACAAAATATGAGATAAATAAAATATAAATATCTATAAGATTAGCAAAATAAATAATATTTTAATCACATTAATTAAATACAACTCCCAATACACTAGTTGATAGCTGTTTTTATACAAGCCAAGAAAGAATAGGAAATTAGTTTGTTGATATGAGGAAAATATAATGATGTGATCCTTCAACACCTAGTTCAACACTATGAATTATGATCACCTCTCCTTCCATGACAGCTATAGAAGTTATAAGACAATGAATATTAATTATATTAGGCATAATATAAACAATAGGGGTATTCCAGGTATCTATTTTTACCTTCTTGAATAAATGAAAATTATGTATTTCATTCAATTGCCAGTTGATATAGCATGCATATAGGGAATGTCATTTCCATAAGTAGGATGAAGAGATCTCATGAGGGTTTCAAAATACCCAATAATAAATTAAATAAATGAAATGAAACAGATACAAACCTTTTGTTGTATGTCAGTTGATATTCCTTCAGAATCTTCCTTTGGAATAGCTTGTTTTCCATAATCTAACTCGTCATATTTCACAGCAAATGGGATATTATTCGATATATCAGTTGCAGTGGTCACAAGAATGAAGCTGAGAAGCAGGAGAGCCTGCTTCGAATGTAACATGTCTGATGGCTTATATTCAACTAAATACTGAAGCCAGTCATAAACTGTGTGATATGAGTTGATGGTTTCTCCAGTTGACACTCGAATTCTGACCTCTTTATCAATATCACTACTGATGTTTTTACTAGCAAAGCAACTCAATAAAGTTTGATGATTAGTTTTGACCAAGTAAACAATTATTCATCATTTTAATACGTGTCCGCATTGGCATCACTCATGATTTAGTATGGTTGATATGCTATTATTCATTATTTATTACTCATTATTATAGTCATTCAAATCATCGATTATTATTTCTTATTTCATCAAAAATCACTTTCTTGTTTTCAAGAAATCAAGAAAACAGCTGATTTGCTAATAATAAATATTGCAAATGTCAGAGAATGACACAGAACACAGAACGAAACACACGCATGCCAGATGCGTTTCCTGCTGCTTCATGCTTGACATGCTTGACAAATCCACAGAACAAAGCCGCCAAAATTGAAATCAAGAATGCATATCCAGACATAAACAACAGTTGTTTTTCTTTTCAACATTCCATTTTAGCCGTTTCGTTTCATAAATTTTTCGTGATACCTTCTATGAATCATCTGCGAAGCATAAATGCAAAATTAGTAGTATGAATTCTCGAGGTACGTAGATAATGAAAATTGTGATGTGAGCACGTGAGATTTTCTAAATTTATGAAAAGAATTCTGATTTGCAATTGACAGAAGTTGTCAAATGTGTATATAAATACTTCAATGGAAAGATAGAAGTTCCCAGTAAAATAAGTACCTATATTTTATTGCAGATTACCAATAATAATAGCGAATCGGCCAGTATAGAATTTAAACCACCGAATACAATAATTATTCGAAGGTTGACTAGCGATAGCAGTGGGGATACCAGGAAAATTATGGAGTCACTATCTAATCACCAGAGCACCCCGCTAGAAAATTGAAATTTCGAATTCGAAGGCAGTCGGCAGTCCACTGGAAGTGCGCGTAGAGTGTGGAAACGTCCTATCCGGGCCTAACATTCGCAAAAATCGTTTCGGCCGCGCATCGGTGTCAGATTGTGCTGTGTGCCGTTGATTATTATTTTTTGTGCTCTCTCTCTCTCTGTCTCGTTCTACGCTAATGGACAGTTGAATAACGCCGAGATCAAGATGGCCGCCGACTCGGGAATGGAAACTTGTCCCTCGCCAGAGGCAGCCGACTCCAGGAAAAGACCACTCGACGGGGATGCTGAAAACGGGGACAACAAGCGCTCCCACTTCAGTTCAGGTGAGCGTGCTACAAATCCCAGCTTCCGCTTTGTTTATTTTTTGCGACTAGATCATTACATGTTTTCCTTGGCCGACTGTGACGTTTCGGTCGGTCGGTAGCTGTCATTACCCATTTGTTGAATGACTTCAATGTCAAATAGAACGCCTAATAATTAACCTAGTAATGAGAGGTTGTCGATTGGATTGGAAGCTGTCGCTATCGCTATTAATAATTATGTAGTATGTAGGTCTCTAGGATGGGTGATGAGTGCCGCAAGGTGGGTGTACTGCTTTACTTCTCACTTCACACAATCAGCTGGTTGGTCGGCTGGTTACTCCCTTATTGGCCAGGTCACTTGCGGCTTGCGGCCTATATTTTCATTTTCACATAATTTGGCACTTGTTGTTTGGAGAGGAAAACCAGGAAAATCATTAATGCCTTGTGGATAAGTAGCACAACATGAATTTATGAAATGATGTCCAACACCACACAGGATGTTGAACGCAATTTTTTATGTAACAAATTATTGTTCTTCCATTCGCTTTGTCGCTTATTTCATTGATCATTCCAATATTTCTGTGGCAAATTCTGACGTCATGAAGTCATGCACATCGTTGCCAGTTCTAAATTCATTGCTTCCGGAATAATTACATAATGATAATAACATCACGTTGTTGATCCATAATATTTTTTTGTTCATACTTCATTTTCTTCTTTATGTTTCTTGTTTTTTCTAGACCCTTTCTTACTTCCTCGCTTACTTCTTATTTTTCAATAAGTATTACATGTATATATTCTTGTAGATTTTCTTGAAATAATATACATGGGTACCGCACCACAAAATCCAATCTTATGTATACCTACCTATACTCAGTTTGCTTTATAAATTATAATGGTCAAACATTAGATTTTTCGTTGACTCTACCGGCTGACACTGACTGATTTTGTTTTTCTAGCCATATTTCATAAAATTGAAAACATCGATAATAAGCTCACTAGAGGACACTCGCATTTTAGGAATCTTTTTTATCTTCCGGTTTTCCTGATAATCCCAACAACTGTCGATTTTCAAATGGAACACCATGTATTTCATTCCATAATCGGTAAGGGATAATTATAACGAATTCAAGATATTCGCTTTCAAAGTTTCCATAAGCTCAATGAGTGTGACAGAGAAAGAAGTTTCGATATTGCGCAGTCACACACATTGAGCTTATGGAAACTTATTCGAACGCGAATATATTCCTAATAATCGTTTGAAATATCCCAATCAAATCCGGTGGTATTGTTCAATTCTTTATGATAATCCCTAACCGATTATGGAATAAAATACAGGGTGGTCCATTTGAAAATAAAGATCAGTGTCATCTGTGAGCATATTCGATGCTCCAAATTGAAGGAGAAAAGGGAGGAATACCATTAATACCCTATATGAGTCTGTCACCCGGTATATAGATAGGTATGCCTTTTATACCTATACATCGTCTAGCACAGGTTCTAGCTTGTGAGTAATAAGTCCTATAGAACTTACTTATGCTGTGCTGTCATAGCTCCTTCCTCCATCTTCGATAGATTCACTAGTTTAATGTCAGACTGTCAGAGAGTCGAAGTAATCACTGTACGTAGACATTAACCGAGACATTAACGTACGAAAAATAATGTTTACGTATTGTCGTTAAATTGAGTTGAAGCACAGTTGAAGTCGTCACTTTGGTCGTCACTGTCATCATAACGTAATAATAAATTTTGTTTTCGGTTTGTATTGGTCATTTTTTTGGTTGTGTGTTTAGATCCGAACATTTATTCCTGTTGAAATGAGAGGACTCCTTGATACCTTGATGCAGAACTCTTTGGGGATCCCGAATTTGATGATTTTGACTCATCGGCATATTTCGAGTATAGTCTGGTTAACGTACGATGATATTTAAGGTTTACGTGAAATAACGATCACCCGTAAGCCCACTATCAACGCAAACGTGAATAATTGGAAAATGTGCATGCGTAGCTGTCATTTTCTACGACACTTCAACTCTCTATTCCCAATTTGGCTTATGTGACAACGTCGCAATGTGCATGTAACACAATCAATCCCTTTGTTTGGAAATCCAAGATATTCAATCGATTCTTATTTCTTAATGTCAGAGGAGCTGAGCCTAGGTGCATTTAGAAGCATGTTAATGTAAAGATGTTGACGAGGATGTTGAGTAAGTAGGTATCCTGAATGTGGTTGCCGAATTCACTTTGGCAACCTTGAATGGTGTGTCATCAACAGGTTGTTTGTTGAGCGTTGAGCTAGTCAACTTGATTTCTAGTAGTTTGATCTCCATATATGTTCATAAATACCTAAATCATTTCGGCAGTTTCCCGTTCCTATTAGATTTCAACTAACATAATCGTAATTTGACGATATTCCAGTGGTGCATTTTACTCGTATGGGCTGTAGTCATAGTACACGTCACAATTCTTGTGAATATGAATATAGGTACTCTGTAAATTTCAATCCATTAACAAAAATTGGTCCTTCATAATATGAAATACCTATTAAACCATATCACTTGGTATACCTACATTGGCTACATTAGAGTCACTGGATGCTATTAGTAGATAAGGCATTGTGTAATATAGGTATGTAGGTAGGCATATATTCATATTATTATTTGATATACCTACTACACGCCCCCCGTAGCAAATAGTAGTAGCTAGTAGGTATATGCATGTTCAGATTCACCTATTAATGGCCCTAATAATAAACTGTGCTAATAACGCTCAATTAATCTCTCTTCAGCAGGACAAGTTCTTAACCCAGATTCTGTGTTCCACATTTGCGTTAGACGGCCTTGAAATGGTCGGAACGTGCAGTGTTATGAAACGCCGCCTCGGGCTGCCATTCCAATAAAACAAACGATCGCGCTGTGCGCTGCGCGGTGCATCTCTATTTAATTTCTATGTATGAACATGAACGCTGATAGCTTGATGGCTGAAGCTGATGTTTGATGTTGTCGAGAGGGCCGAGACGAAGACGAACGGCATCGGCGCTTGTTTTTGTCAGTGGTGGCAATCGCAGGATTACATTACGTGGGTAGGATCCGGCAGTGAAATCACAACAACTATAATAATATACACTCATTGAAATGGAAATGCTGTCATCAGCCACTCTCTATATAAATAGGTACAATAAGATCTATAAGTATAATTCTTTCATAAAGTTGGTTTAGCTTTGACAGATTCTTCAACCAACCGGCATAGGTACCTAACAGTTGGTGACAGAAGTGGGATTGAAATTATGGAGCACCTTGTTGAACATAACAAACTTGAGCAATTAGGCACAAAAATAATCAATACCTATGTCACTTAATCAACAATTCAAACAAACCTCTATTTGGGATAGAAATGGTGCCAAGAAAAGAGTTGGGCCGTTCAAAGGATTTAATCTGGTGAATAGATGTGAAGAGCCGAAGGGTTGGAGTGGAGTATATTGTTTGAACAGGTCTCGGGACACGTACTGATAAAACCTCTACAGGGTGTACGACAGCTCATGCTGCAATCATTGGAGTTGGAGTTATACCGAGAGTTATACGCTATAATTTTTTCACGGCTGTAACAGTCACAGAAAACGGCGACATTTTTGATTTCTTCGTCTTGTAGCCATCTGATTTCTTCTCAAGTGATGCTCATCTGAGAAAATAATACAAAGGAGTCATTGTGATATCAGATACGGAAATAAATTTTTTTATGGTTCAAGGTCAAATGCCATCAAATTTCAAGATAGATCAAAGCATTATTTATTTTGCATCAAGTGTGAAACACCTCTACCAAAATATAATATTTTGTGATTAATCGGGTTTCGAGTTTATGGTTGATATATTAATATGAACAAGGATGAGAAATAGAAGAATTTTTTTTTCACCATTGAAAAAAGTGAACTTGACTCAAAATTTGAAACGATATTAGAAAATTCAATCTCTACAAAAGTAACCCCAGTTAATTTATTGCAAAGGTATTCCTACTGACTGTATTATCCGAGGTATTATCAATGGATTCATTAGCCACTTCTATTTTTTTCCAAACTGGCACTTGTAACCTGTGATGTCATAATGTCTAAAATTTAAATCGGAATATCTTTGCACAGTGCACAGTCAAACCCTGGATGCACATGAATCGAATATACGGTTCGCATGGTTGTTTACCTATACTTGTCCAGCAACAATGTGCAATATTTACAAGTGCTCATTTCGCCCGTATCTAATTTGTTTTTTATACGTCTGTTTCGGCCAATGGGTGCATAGCACCCATACCCACTGCCTACATGGGTGCATTGGCCCCGATGCCCCCATGCACTCGCCGCCCCTGACCTCATTGATGTATCGAACACAGTAAAACAAGAGCAATTTTGTGTTATAGCCGTAGAACTATGATATTCCAGTAGGAATGTGCGGAAATTTGAAAATATTTGCGAGACAGAAATGGGAAAGGAGAATGAAAAATCAACTCCAGATAATACAAAAAGAAGTAATTCCTCCATTTGGAACCAATTTAGCGAATTTTGTAAACAACGAAACTTGGAAACCGAACAGTTAGTAAAAAATGTGGCAGGAATATTGATGAACTGGGGCTTCAATATGAAGAAACATAATGGGGAAGATTATAAAAAATACCTACGTGGTGAAAACAATATACGTCTCGTGATTTTTTAAGAACAGCTTTCATTCAATTGCCAATAAGTCGTAAGTATTCGAAAACAAGCACAAAAAATAACCAGCTAGATCTGATCTAGTGTTATTACCCCCGATAGAATCGTGCAGAAAAGTAAAATCGTACGGAAAAGTATAACTTTCAAAATGAAAAATCGTCCTGAATAGTAACTGTTCCGCAATCTCACAGGAAAAACATATTCTCAAAGTATTGGTCGTACATTTAAGATCACATCAAAGAACCATGGAAGTGTGTAGTAAGTTGTAAACAAATTGACCTTGCCACAACAGAATTTTGCATATATACAATGTTTTGCGAATAATACTCTGTCGTGCCGATGTGCCGATTACTATGACGAATTATTTACTAAAAGCCAGAAGATAATAGCTATTACTAATTTGTGGCCGTGAATCATCTGAGTACATAAGAAATAATGACGCAATGACGGGAAATCAACCGTTTGTTATTAACTTTGACTTTCGTTTTATAAAAAAAAATATGTTGCATGTGCACACGCGGTAACTACATCGATTAAAATGTTTACGTTGAATTCAATTCTGACATTCTGGTAATGACACATGAACTTCTATTTTTTTGAAATATACAGGTTGTCCCTAACAGGTTTTTACAAAAACTAACCACATATTCCTGAGACCAAAACAATTCGATACAAGCAAACTTACGTCAGGACAAAGTTGCTTAGGTTGGTCGCTAGACAGCTCTGTTGATACAATTTTCAAATCGTTTTTGCTTCATAACTTTGAAACGGCTCATGAGATTGTACTAAAATTTGGTACGTTGGCATAACTTCATTGGGCAATAAGAACCATATCATATGATGATGAAAAATATCGTTCCATGGGCGTCGAATTTGTTTTTTTCAGTAAATAAACATCTAACACTTCTTCGCCAATGGAAAGAAAGAGATTTGTATGAAATTTGGATCGCTTAACTTTTTCACTACAAAAAAGGTACTCCTGATTAAATTCTTTTGACAAAATTTCAATTGTTCAACTGAACATATCCTTACTGAAGATGGACAACATATGGCAGAGAGGAATAATATTAAGATCATTGGAAAAGAAGATAACAACCAGTAGAAAAAAAATCAAGGAATCTGCTCGTATTCTTCTGAACGGAGACAATAGCATTGCTTCCTGTTCAGTTGATATAGATAGAACATGGTATTCACTATTGAAATCTGAAAATGAAAATGGTATATTCATGATGAATTAATGAAAACATCCTGTAACTCATTTGATTACCAACGTCACCAATTGTAACTGACAACTGAGAAGTGTCAAGACAAACACGAATTCGCCATACAAAAAATTCCATTTTTTATGTTGAAAACGGGAGCAGATTCGTTCCCGAAACGTCCAAAGATAAGTGAAAATTTGATATTTTTTCTATATACCTTTATTTCTGTTCTCCAAAACTTTTTCAATACAAATTGTCACTGACAAGCTAGTGAATTTTTCTTTTAGGCTCTCTGATAGGAAAATTCTTTAAACGCAGTGACATTTTGGGGAAAATCATCAGATTTGTCCTGACTACACGTATATTGAAGTAGTATTCATATTTTTATTTCATAAAGACGAGGATAGAGAATCCCAAAAATATCTGGAATAATGAAACTATGAATGGTAATGGGTTTACATGACAAATTTTTCGCACATATTTTTCTTGAATTCGTATCATTTGAGTTGCTCTTCCAGAATTCATATAAATTCTTATATTATTCAGCAGCAAATTGGTTCAAACAAGAGATAAAAATAGTATCAGGAATCAGGAGATTACTGCTTCAGATTTCGAATAATTTGCTTTGAGAATTGAATCCCTTATCTTATAATAATATAGGTAAATACCGCTCAAATTTATGGGTATATTGTTGATGTGAAGTCTAACAGAAACTGCTTTAGAGAATGTTTACTTTGTTGTGAAAAATAAGTATAATTGGTAGTATGGAATTCCTTGTAGAAAATGTAGTGTAGATGAGTCTTGAATCTAATTTATGAAAATGTCTTCGCTAGATATTGATTGATCTTGAATTGAAACAAAAATAATTGTATAGTTTTCGTTTTATTATTGACTTGTAGTTTGAAATAGTTGGATATTTGTTTTCGTGTGATTGTTACTTGAGTGTGGATTGTATTGGCAATGATTTTACTTGAAAATTTCGTTTATTGCAGATGGTGCATCTGACGAGGATAAAGCAATTTCAGGTGAATATGTTTTTTAATTTTTCTACGAGTAGTTGAACCATAAATTTTATATCAAAATTTGCATGAATGTTTTTAGTATGATTCAATCTCCTAATAAAATGTATGCATTAGTACCTATAATACCATAAAATGTGGTTCCTTCGTCTTGAATGACTCCGATCCAGTTTGTGCAAATTACACAAAAGTATAATTCCATCTCGTATTTTTCTTGATTTTGTAATACTGTGGAATAGGTATTTTTGTTGATTTCAGTGTCATGGTAAGTGTTGTACTTAAGTTCATGACTTACGTTTCGCAAGTCGACGTTTTGGTGTGTCACAATACCGTCCTCAGGGAATTGAAAAAGCATGGTCAATTCAAATGATAATGGTTTATCTATAGGAAACACAGAAATGGTTTTGATTCACGTTACGTAACATCAGTTTTCTTACGTTACCTAATCAAACTTGAAAAATAGGAGCTCAATAAATCTGAATGACAAAAAGTTATGGCTATCATCATGTGTTGCAATTTGTAAAACTACCGACTGTTTTGTTGGAATGACGAATCTTCAGATTATTGTCAGTTATTACACAACTTTACTTACATCTTCAATATAGTAGGTAGATAAGCTGTCACAACCTCTATCTTGCATCATCATTGAATAAAACGACTTTGAAATCCACATAATTATTATTATAGTCTTATGCAGAGATGAAAACGTATCGCTCACGGGCGACATAAGTGACACAAATCGAAATTGAATATTATACAGGGTGTCCCTCCGGGAATTGCATCGATCAATTTATAGAAAACCATATGTGAGCTAAATTTGAAAATTTTGGAGTTCACTATTGTTGATAAGTGCTATCCGGCTAAAATAGTCTGAAGATTGTGGCACTTCCGGTTGTACCGGAAGTGTCCCCCAACTTCGTTATTTTAAATGGGACACCCTGTATATTATCAAGGTTTTAGATTTTAGGCATGATTCTGAACATGTTTAATGTATGATGTCCTATACCCAAGCCCAAGGGCGTCGCCAGAGAGGGGCAGGGTGGGGCAGCTGCCCCCCCCCCCTACGTTTAACGCTCACCAGTCACCCTGCTATCATTGAAACGACTATTTCATTCATCACATAATCTGACCAATCACAAGCCAGAGAAAACGTGTGCTTATCGCGAAAACTAGATGTTTTCAACGATGTAACCATGGGTAGCGAAGCGAAGTCTGTCAATTTGGCAAAAAATAAGGACTGTACTTGTCAGAATGAATCATTCATTCAAAATAAATGCTTCTTTGCTTCGTGAACGTGAAATAGTCTTCACTCTGTTCTGAATATATTCTCATAATTCTTCATTTCCTTGTCAAATCTATTGTGTTGCCGTACAGCCCTACCTTTCGTCCTGACTCGTGGTGTTGCTCAGCAACACAATTTCGTAAACAATGAGGCGACAGAATTATCTCGAATATTAAGAATATCGTGATATTACTTATGATAACGCTCACTTTGAGCAAAGAACTTCCGAAAGTATATTTTTCTCCTGAAGTTGAGAAGGCTCTGAAGATCCTTGTTGCCTTTACCTTGTAAGATTTGTACAGTTGAAAGGTCATTTAGTAGCCTTAGGAGAATCAACACCTGGTTGAGGAGCACCATGTATGATGCTCGACTCAATGGCCTCGCAATGATGAGTACACAGGCAACATATTTTCAAAAACTTGAACGAATTCGTCAAAAAGTGACCAACGAATTCCCAAAGAACCCTAGAAGATTATTTTTCAACTGATTTACTGTATAGATTTTTTTCTGTTTTTTGATTTTCTCATTAAACTCTTTCTATTTGATTTTTCTCTTCAGTTTTTTTATGGTGCTCCCCCCTATTTTTTCCGCTGGCGACGCCCTTGCCCAAGCCTAACCGTTTTCGAATTATTTCAAATTTCAGGTTGAAAATTGCGTTTGCAGTCCGAAAAATATTTTTTTTTTATTTCTGGACAAGATCATTTATTTTCGATTGTGTATCGATTTATTCGTAGGAGAGGACCCAGTTCAGTGGAATTTCGATATCAATTCGATGCAGAAAAATGCATTTGAAGTTTCAGATATTTCAATTTGTCCATTACTCCTGACTGAATTTCCTTTCACGATATCTAATCTAGTACAGAAATTTTAAATAAAGTGACATTTTGGGGCGTGATTCATATCATTTAATATTGTGAAGCTGGGTATTTTCGAGTGACCCATATATTATTTGCATTTGCGAAGTCTGAGTAATAAACATGCATGAATGCACCATTAATAATATAAACTATGTGTGTGTGTTTATTCCGAGGTTTATTCATTTTAGCCGTACCTTATACTATTTAATATTTTCAGTTTTGAAACGTTATTTTCTGGACCATGTGTTCGCTGATTTAGACGCCTACATTCCTTTTCGTTTGCATAATTGCATCAGCCAAAAATAGCGCAACAACAAAAGCATCTATGATATGATGTAATAAACGTTTATGTATAATTATGTACAGCATGATCCAAAATGACCGATCCACACAATTCGTTTATGGGATGGGATTTTTTTAACTGGCAGTCACTATTTATCTCACCATGGTCATACCTACCTACCTTAGCAATAAAATTGAATGTGAAGTTGATGATTTTCTCTAATTGGATATAAATTTAGAAGAAACCGCTTATTATAAATAATGAATGGTAATGAAACAAGAAAATTTAGCTGTCCTGATTTAATTTAATAATTTTAATTAATAATGATAGAATAATCAGTCTGAACTACTAGGTAAGATACAGTTTATTTTTAATAAGCACATTCGAAGTGAACCGTTTAGGATATATCGAAGACTGGAACCTTTGGCACGATAATACACTACACTGTTTTACCACTAACCAAACCGATTTTTTAACGCCTCGACACGTGTTTCGCTAACTATGTTAGCATCTTCAGGAGAAGATTAAAACTGTTTTAAACCTTGTGATAGATAGGTTTCTTGACTCCATACCATCTCAGGAATATCTTAAAACCTTTGTAGCATCGTTATTGTATGGATTGGTCAGAAAAATCCAGAAGGGAATCCTTGCGCACCTTTGGATTGCCTTATCTAAAAAATCACGAAATCAATTCGACATACTGAGCAGAGCAATCGATCCAAATGAAGGATTTGTGTTTAGCATATCATATGATTATGGCAGCACCATATTGAAGTTGTCGATGATTTCAACGCAATATGAATCCATTTTCTAGGATGTGTTCCGTCGTATAGAATGGCAAAATACATTGAATGTGGCTTGCATAATTTTAAAATCGAAAAAGATGCGATGAAAACCTAAAAATGAAAAATTATCGGGTTTGAACATCATGTATGAGAAATATGGAAAATTACAAAACCGTTTCGAGATATTGACTTAAACGTTCGAAAAAAATGATTAGTAGAAAAATAAAAAACATTCCCTGGAATACGGAAGTGTTTCAATTCTCTCATTTTTGTAATACTTTTTTCGAACACTTGGTGTATGATGACAGAAAAACTCCCGACGAGTTTTGAACGGGGAATCTTGAACAAAAAGATTGGATCTTCCAAGCACTGCATTTCGATTGAAAATCCATCCATTTTCTAAGGAGATATGGCAGTTTGAAAATTGTCAAATATCTCAGTGGTCCATCTTGTTTCTTTGAGCACTTTAGATAGATAGGTACAACAACAAGTCAAGTATTGATCAATAATTACAGGAGAGTTTTTTTTGTCGAAGTAAACTTGACATGCATCAATAAGAATTTTTTCTGCAACCGACACAAAAGTCGTCCATTTTGATACCAAAATTAGCTCTTAAATTGACGTTTCTATTACTGTCACAAAATGAGGTATGTTGCTAGGCAACATATTTAGTTCCTAGGAGCTAAAGTTGAATTTTAGTCCCTAGGAGCTGAAGTTGAACTTTAGCTCCTAGGAACTAAAGTTGGACTTTAGCTCCTAGGAACTAAAAAGGATCTACTGGGCGTCATCAAGAATAATCAACATTGTGACGGTTGGTTATTTGGGTTGAGACGCATACCTGATTTGTTTCCAATTTCAGCAGATTTGGCATTTCATACCCATGCTGGAGATATAAATACACCTTATTATAGTATTCAGTTCAGTATTGGAATTATAAACATCTCAGTTGACTATTTTTGTTTCGATCAGGGAAGCCTTCAAGATTCAAATACTTGCTTGATCTGTATTTCATTCGTTATTCTCGGGATGGATAACTTGTTTTTGAATAATCACGGCAAGCAATAGTTTTTTTGTCTCAAACAACGATATTGTTTAGCTTCATTTGATTATCAAATCAAACACAGTGTAGTATGGAGAGGAATAAATAATCACTATTATCATTGTTGATATGCTCACTAACCTAACATTTTCCACGTCTTGTTCCTATAGCTGGCACTGGCGCTTTGCCATTAGAGCACCTGGTCCAGGTCCAGGTCCATACACAAATATGTCACTCTGTGGTTGTATTTATATTGAAACTACAATTTGAACATCCTAGAAAACCTAACCTGCTGTTTATGCAGGTAGAATATTCTCACCACATGGATTATTTGTCAATATTTGTTGCATTGCATTCATTTGGCACGGCATTGGTGGTTTACTTCACATGTTTATTTGAGTTAATTGTTTCGGTTGCAGAAAAAATAGCATGTTTCATTCGGATCAAAAGTGACTTTGTTCGACTCGCAAAGTGTCACTTTTGATCCTAATAAAACAATCTACTATTGTTGCCTGGCAATTTGACGAAAAAAACTGCCTCTGAAAAAAAGAGTCCGTAGGATGAGTAATTTTTTCTGGCAGTTTTTTGAGTTGAATCACCTAATGGCAACAAAATTCGAATTATAAATGCCAAATTTACTTCGACTTAGAAAAAAACCTAGAGTGTAATTCGGTAAGACAATTTAATTCATCAAACATTTGTTTATGGCTGATTGTCATGCTTTCAAAAGTTAGGTTCCGGTATTGTCGCTGGAAAAGTT